TAGTAGAGGGACCAAAAAGGGTATTTAACCTTTATAAAACTTAAATGTAGTATGTTTTATTTTTTTAATATTAAAATATAAATATTTATTTATCTATTAATATGAAATTATAGATTATTAACAGTTATATTTTATAAATATAAAAATTTTATTTGCAATCATCAACTTTAACATAATTAAATTAAAAAAAAAAGTAAAATTCTATAAAATTAAAAAAAAAAAAAAAAGAGAAACAATGTTATTTTAAGGAAAATGTCCTTTTCAATCATTTTAAGATTAAAAGATCTTTTATAAAAAAATTTACCAAATAACTTTTCACTCTATAAATATTTCTATAAAAAATTTTATTAAACATTTTCAATTTCTCAAAAACATCACTTCTCCAATAGATTCTTTCCAATAGAACTTCTATTAAAAATTCCAACCATACCAAATGGGCTCTAGCACTTTCATTAAATGAGAGTTGATTGTTGATATTGAAGGCCCTCTTCCACTTAATAACTCATATTTTGTAGTTTAATATAATTTAAACTGCAAAACATGGGAGACTTAAATGGGAAGCAAGAGTGCAATATGATGTGATACCATTAACTTGGTTAGAGGAGAATTATCCTCTTTAAAAACCTAGAACAAAAACTACCAAAAATAATCCTTTTTGGCATACAAGAAATACAAGAAAGTGTTCTTGGCAATTATTGAGTCATATTTCTAGAATTAATTTAATTAGAAAAGTCTTTTATTATAGTCATTTATCTTTATTAAATAAGATTTGATTCTATTATCAAATCCTAGGAACCCTATTGCTACCTATAAATATCAATTGTCAATAGCAATTTCTTACAGTAAAATTTATAAAAACATTTGATCATTTGGAGAATTAAAGTTCTATTGGTTTATGAAGAACACTTGATTCTTTTCCCTCTTATTCTTCCCACTTATTCTTCCTCACATTCTTCTTTCATAACAATCTAAATCCCTAAATTGATCATTAATTCTTCTAAACCTACTATCCTACACCAATTTGGTATCAGAACCCAAAAAGATCCTTATTTGGGGGGTTGATTTGAGGGTTTGGTGAATTTGAAACCTTGCAAAAAAAAATCATGAAGAAACAAAAGAGCTTATATAGGGGCTAGAAACCCAGCTTGTTGCATAACTTCATGCCAAGCTTGAGACCATGTCTCAAAATTTGCTTGAGACTTTGTCTACAAAACTTTCTACTGTTCTTGGCAAGAAACAATTGAAAAATGTTGCTAATCAAGGTGTTGAGAGCTCCAACTCATGTCTGCATTCAACTTTGACACTACAACAACATTTCTAGCTCCTAATTCTTCAATTCCTCAAGGAGCCAACCTTGTCCACCCGCTATAATAGCAACAGCCACATTCTACTCTTTTTTTAGCAAGTTAAGGTGCAACTTCAAAGATAGATTCTTGACCTTATGTTCTTCCACGATTCAAAGATCAAGTTCAACCAGTTTTGAATGATGTTAACAAAGGAGTAAAGTAGGAAGTTTCTAATGTTTATGGGGAGAGTAATCTAGAGGTGTTTCTTGTTTACGTGCATGGCATAGAAAATTTTTTTCAATGGTATGGCTTGACTGGTGAGAAAACTTACTTTATGAAGGCAAAATTAAAAGAGATAGCTAGAATTTGATGACAAAAATACTACCAAGCAAGTTATATAGTTCTTAGAAGATGGGAAGATATGAAGAATAATAAGACTTGCAATTTTGTGCCACCTAATTACAAGTAACAAGTTCACTTATAGTTTACCCAATTGGTTTAAAGAACTATGAATGTGGAAAAATATACCGACAAGTTCTACAGCTTGGCTACAAGGTCAAATTTCTATTGGAATGAAGGTGTGATGGTTTACATGTATCGACATAGGTTAAATACACAAATCTCTTTTGGATTAGTAACATGCAAATTCTATTTCTCAGGTGATGTAGTTCAAGTCACTTATCAAATTGAAGAGGAAAACAAAAGAAGGAAGGTAGTAATGCAATTACCAATTGATAACACCAAGAATGAAAAGAGCATTGATGGAAATCAAGCAAGGATATGGGAGAACTCTCTCAATACTGCAACAAATAAAAGCAATCTCTGTTATTCAACACCAAAACATTAGAACATAATATGAGTTCTAACTTCAAACAAGGATATAAACATCCTCAATGCTTTATTTGTGAGGAATGTGAATACCATTCCTACTAATGTCCACACAAAATTGCTTTTATGGCTAAGAATAATGTTGTTGTCCATATTTATGAACCAATGCCAAAAGAGGTTGTAAGGTTGAATGTTAAAGATGATAACAATCATGATGGAGGTTTAGATGTTTGTGGAGATAAGGATAAGGCTTGTCTAGTTCTAAGATAATGTAATATCCCAAAATTTTGTGATATTTTAGCACTTAGTTAAGGACTTGATTGTGAGGAAATATTATTTTGGGGCTTATTAGCTAAAATTTCCAAACTTGAGGGACTTAAGGAGGGGAAATTTGGATAAGGGTCAGCTATTTTTTCCTTCTTTCTTCCTTCTTCGGCCCGATTCTGCTCTTCTTCTTTCCCGTCCCCCTGCAGCTCCTGAAAGCCCCCCCAGCTGCCGGCAACAATTTTCTTGAGGAAACCGGTAGAAAGCTTGATTTTATCCTTCTTTTCTTGTTCAAGAACCAGATTTAAAGCTT